CGCGGACTTACAACGCTAGAATCCGGGTTTCGATACCCGTGGTGGGCAGAGCACAGATAGCCCATTGTGTACTTTGTGCTTAATTAAAAACAAACACATTTTTTAACTTAAGACTTCTTGCTGTGCGGATTAGAAAAATTATAGGTCACTTTTTACTACTTGTATGCCCCCTAGTGGCACAGCGGTATGTCCGCGGACTTACAACGCTAGAATCCGGGTTTCGATACCCGTGGTGGGTAGAGCACAGATAGCCCATTGTGTAGCTTCGTGCTTAATTACAAACAAACAAACAATACTACTTGTACTTTATTCGTTGAATACCCGAGAGATGATAGATGTTATAATCTGTTCAAAATATTTCCGAAAGATACTAAGATTAAAATAATACGTAGGAAAATTTGAATTAATTGTTGTTTAGTGAAAAAAAAACAAACAATGATTAAATAAATGCATTCCATATTCATCTTTATAAAAAAATTAACACACGTTTTTAAATAAAAGGATTAAATCCGTTTATGAGATAATAAATTATGTTATTTATGTTATTATTTATGTTATTTATGTTATTGTGTTATTTGATTATTAAAATTATCTAGTTTTGATCGTTTAGCATTTTTTATTATTGATAATTAAAACAAAAATATATTACGGTTAAATTTTAGATCACTTATGTGTTTACGTTAACTTTCCTTTAAAACAAAAGAAATGTTTGTACTTACCTTACTCTCATTGGTTGATTTAGTTGTAAGTCGATGAACGCGCCAGATCTTCGAAAACATGGCTCCGTACGACAGTGTGAAGCCTATACTCAACAGCCAAGCTCTCGCCTGATGGTAAAATAACATAAAAAACAAGCAAACTTAAAACATATAATATAAGATTAAAGTAAAAATGTATTCGGTTCACTTGAAAAAGTTGAAAACTTAAGTATGAGATAGAAAAAGGCCTATCTTTAATCTCTGGAATTTTGTCCAAACAAGGTACAAATATATATATAAAGCAAAGTGCTCTCTAGCGGCACAGCGTAAGTATGAGATAGAAAAAGGCTTATCTTTAATCTCTGGAATTTTGTCCAAACAAGGTACAAATATATATATAAAGCAAAGTGCTCTCTAGTGGCACAGTGGTATGTCTGTGGACTTATTCAGCTAGAAACCGGGTTTCGATACCCGCGCTGGGCAGAGCACAGATAGCGCTTTGTGCTTAATAACAAACAACAAAAATAAAGCAAATTACTCCTTCTGTGTGGTGTCTTGACGTCAGAAGTTGTTGTGAGGAACTGATGAACCAAATTCTATGAAATTTGATAGAGAAATTCAGATGGACCATTGAAAGATACAGTTTAAATAGATGAGCAATTGGTCAAGCGATTCGAGTTTGATAGTCATTTCTATTTTACACAAGGCCCGGCATGGCCAGGTGGTTAGGGCGCTCGACTCGCAATCTGCGGGTCGCGGGTTCGAATCCCCGTCACACCAAACATGCTCGCCCTTTCAGCCGTGGAGGCGTTATAATGTTAAGGTCAATCCCACTATTCGTTGGTAAAAGAGTAGCCCAAGAGTTGGCGGTGGGTGGTGATGACTTCCCTCTAGTCTTACACTGCTAAATTAGGGACGGCTAGCGCAGATAGCCCTCGTGTAGCTTTGAGCGAAATTCAAAAACAAACAAACAAACAAACAATCCATTTTACCGTTTTGATGCCGTGAATTTGGTTTTAATCGAGTGAGAATGTTTGTACCAAAATACGAAAGTGATGTATTAAATCATGCGAAGAAACGATGTGTGCCCAAAAATATTGGGAAAAAATGGCAACCCACTCTCCCATTTTAGCTTGTTTTTTTTTATTAATTCCGGTATTCCCTGTTAGCTCAGTTGGTTAAAGCCTCATTCTGTATCACGAAAGTCGTAACAATTCTATACTTTTTTTTATCTCTAATTCAAATTTATTAAGGATTAAAATCTCAGTAACTTTAATGTTGCCGACAAGTTCCACCAATCACTGCAACAACTAGAATGCGCATGTCAACCAACAAAACCAAATCAGAAAATTCCACCGATCCAACTCCGACAAGCCGTTATCTAGACCGCCTCAGCCATCATCCAGACAACCTCAGCAAGTCTAATAACCAAGAACCTACGCGGATGCAACGAGACCGAGACCACCAGCCCGTCAATCCCTCTTTTCATTGGTAAAAGAGAAGCCCAAGAGTTGGAGATGGGCGGTGTTGACTAGCTATCTTCCTTCCAGTTTATCCCATCTCAAATTATGAACGGTTAGCGCAGATAGCCCTCGAGCAGTTTTGCGCAAAAATCTAAAAAAACAGCA